TGATGAATGATCATAATGCTAAAGATCTTATCTATATACCCCCATATAAACTAACAGATATTATTTACCCCCATCAATGCAAAATCTTCGTCGATATCACCAGAATGCAACGGTTCTAGCGATGGAGGTAAGTTTCAGTTAAAGAAAAATATTATTTGTAATTTTTTTTGTAAAACCAGAATTTCTCTAATATATGAAGAAAGGATATCTCCTGGAAAGCCATGATTATCTTGTAAATATTTTATTTCTTTTAAAATATGTAGCCTCTGATCTTGAAGTTGTTTCAAATAGTTCTGTTCTGGTGCCAAGTATTCTGATTCATTTGTGTAAAATAATGATTTTATTAAATTTATCAAGTGCAGACAATAAAAATTATGAATTTAATTACTAACCAATACGTGAGGAATCATCCAGATTATTCTTTTCTCTTATCAACTTAAATCGACGGTTTTCTAAATCATCTAGTATATGCCTTTTCAGTGCATAACGATCTGACTAATATAGAAAGACGATAAGTAAATGTGAGAATCAGTTGAAAATTGCCAAAACTTACCAAGAATTGGCGGTATGTTCTGTATTCGGATTCTTCGTATTGTCTTTGACAATGTAATTCTTGATATCGTTTCCGTGATGATGTTATCTCTGAACGTTTTCGCCGTTTTTTGTCAATTTCGTCCATACATGATATTTGATCAGGATGAACTCCTATTAAAAATGATTATTATTAATTAATAATGTGAAGATAAATAATGCGAATATGTATATAAACATAAGTATTTGATATTTTATCACGACAAAATAAAGGGTATCATCGAACCTTGTTTTATTTCCGCAATTTCTTTATCAAGCTCTTGAATTTGTTCACGATATAGCCTAATAAAAATTAAAGATAGTTAAAATTATTACTTTTATTATTTAAAGTAATAACTATTCGTTAATACACATACTGATCTCTCAGTTGTACAAAATCTCTTTCAATCATTTTTAAATCTTCTTGGACTTCAACCCGCGGTTTATCATTTTCATCGTGCTCTATAATTGAAATAAATGTGAAAGGGAGTAAGTATATACCGAAAACTATGACCTCATTAAGAAACGAATTATTTGTAACTACGCCACGCTTATATAAGGTTGTCTGATGACATCTGTACCACTTTACAACCCGGAAAATATAATGGGATGCACATGATTGTTTTTCTCTCGCATATGTCACAATGAACTTTGACAGATCAATTCGATCTTTGTTGTGCTTTTGGATTTTTGATACATAATTTGCAAAAATGGTTTAAAATAGAAAAGAATCATGCCTTCTGGCTTATAGACTGTAAGTGTGTTACCGTCGTCTTCATTTCCATTTTGGTCACGCTCATCCCAGCGTCTTTTTTTGCATATTCGATTATTTTCTGACGCATCCATTTTTGACAATGATTCATCTTCAGATGTGATGCTTGTAGTGGTGATGTTAGAAATTTTAAGCTTTGGATCATCATTCAATATGGACGGCGATTCTGATAGCGAACTCATTTCGGATGAATCGTTGGGCGACGTCGGGCTATCCAATTTATCTGATACTTTGTTGTCTGGAGAATCACTGCCTGCGTGCTGTATTGTAGTACCATTAGACTCTTTAATTACGTCACCATTTGTCTCCTCTTCGGTGACAACTTTCCAAGCCTTAGATTTAAGGCCATTCTTTTCTGTTTTTGTCTGCTCCTCTTTTTCAGAATCGGAAGGTTTTCTTACTTCACTTTCATTATCCGTACTAATTTGACTATTAGATTGGGCCCTTGCCTCCTTTTCAAATGGAAATGTCGACCCGGCTTTAAAAAGGTCTTGATTGTCGGATTGCTTATCGAGTCTTTTGTCGAGGGAACGACTCATTGATGTAGATGTTTTCAACATCAGGTCGGGAGCTTGCGGAGACTATACACGAAAAAGAATGCGTAGAGTTTGGAATTTGAGTAAGAGTATAATCTATAAGTAGATTTTATTTGGTGCAAGCAAAAAAGTTGGTTTACAGAAGATAAAAAGAGAACAGCCTAACAGACAAAATAATGAGCATGTGGGAAAACTGCGTGGTACTCAATAACATTTTATGACGTATAATATTCCGAACACAATAACTATACATAAAATGCAGGAGCAAACTAAGCCACTGATTCATATTCATGACACACAAAGGTTTGTGCATATGTACTTAAGATGATGAGCTGATATCAGATATAGATTTTTTTTTTTTTGTAATTATATATTTAAAATGTCTGAATACGTACCCGGTTCTTTGGCTCAATCTTTACTGAAACAAGCGTCTTCTATAAAGAATGAACTTGATATCTTATTCCAAAATAATGTAGGTTCATACATACGCAGAATTTTTAGATTATCCTAATTCAACTTTGCGAGATATACTTCCTTTTTACTTGACAGATAGGTCAAGCCAAATCTAAAATAAAGTTGGAAGAAAAAACGGTAACAAATACAAAAAGCCACCCAAAAAACCATACAATAATTGAAGAAACCAGTGAAATTGGTCGCAAACGTAAAAAAAAAAAGACCTTAAAGAATATTTCTCATGATGACGGCATACAGGCTGATTCTTCAGAAAGCAAGAAAGAGGGAGAATTCAAAAAGAAATCGATTGAAGAATTATACGAGATGAAATTAGTCAAAGGAAAAGACAAAGAATCAGAAAATGTAAGTTGACTAATTGATTTTTATTTTTCGTCTGAAAACTCGAAAATTGGTCTTAATTATTTAATGTCGCTTTTTTAGTCTTTATCAAAAATCAAACGGAAAAATTCTCATGGCGAACCTGAAGAAACAAATTTGTTTCACGAAACTAATTTTAAGCGTAAACGTTCAGAAGAAAAAACAAATCCTTCAAATAATAAAAAGGTGCCAGAAGATAATGAACTCGATGATATGCGTGCCAAAAAACGTATAAAGGCTACCATACATGACACGAAAGAGGAAAACGGAAAAATCAAAACTATGGACGCTCAAAATACTAATAATTCGACAGAAATTAAAGAATTGACAGCAAAAGAAAAGGAGGATCCGGAACGTTTACAGAAAACGATATTTATTGGTAATCTTCCTGTTAGTGTAATTAAAAAGGTAATTATAATACTTTTCCTATGTGTTTTCGATTGTTATTTTTTCATTTATTTTATTTTTTTTATTATAATAGGCCAGTAGCAAAAAACTGAAGGCCCATTTTTCCAGATTTGGACGAATCGAAAGTATTCGGTTTCGATCGATTGTAAGTGTTAAGCTAAACTTATAGATGTAGTATTCAACTTTTCTAAAATTAATTTTAAATTTTAAAGTCATTTTCTGAACCACTCCCTCGGAGAATTGCCTTTATCAATAAAAAGTTGCATCCTGAACGAGATGTTCTTAATGCATATATCGTATTTAAAGAGAAATCTTCTGTTCAAGGTGCACTCTCTATGAATTCCCAAATTTTTATGGGAAAGCATTTACGAGTAGATTCTGTAGCTGATCCACAGGTTTGTATTATAGCTTTGGCAAATTAAATAATATATATATAATAAATATGAAACTAGTAAATAAAATTAAAAAATATATTGTATATATATATACTGTATAACTAACATATATAATACATGTTCGTAGAATCATGATAGGAAGCGGTCAATTTTTATAGGCAACTTGTCATTTGATGCAGAAGAAGAGATGCTTTGGAACCATTTTGAAAATTGTGGTGAAATTGAAAACGTTAGAATCATAAGAGATAGCAAAACAAATGTGGGTAAAGGCATTGCATATGTTCAATTCAAGGTGAGTTTATTGATTGATAAAAATTATTGAATGTATTAAATAGGCACTAACAATATAACTAATATTTCAGCAACGTTCTTCAGTTGAGCTCGCACTTAAACTTAACGATACTAAAATTGGAACTCGACAGATTCGTGTTACAAGGTGTGCGAAGACAAAACAGATCGATACCGGCAAATATTCTTTCGGCATTCGTGCTCATGGTAAAAAAAAATGGTAGGTAAGCAACGCAATTGTAGTCACGGGGCGTTCCTGCTACAATATAAATTGGCTAAATATAAACTCAGAAACGAGCTGAAAATCAATACAATAGTTTGTGTTTATTGCAAGTAGTACAAACAAATTAATTGGTTAAATACAAACCCAACGTAGCACGAGCCAATAAACTAGCATAAACTTTAAAACGAAGATACTTTGAGATACTAATTAAGTATCTTGAAGTAATACTGTACCTGCTATGAAAGGTCTGATCTAATGAATAGCATATTCGAATATTCGAAGTGTATAATTTGAACATAATTCGGAATAAAATTAAGAAAAATAATATTTTATTATTAAATAAGTTCTTAAGTTCTTATATCTGATATAGTAAACAAATTATGTTGTACTACGGTATTACAATATTAAATTATATATCACGTGAGCCAAGATAACCAATCTCGTTAGTATTTCTTTTTTAGGAAATCCAGACATTCAAAGATATTTGTTGCATTAACCCTTTAAATTTAACTCAACTTTATTACAATGTTAAACAGTATGAGGATCAAGATCAGATAGATGCTTTTGATATTTCCACTTCATTATTATCACAGATTTTTTTCGTTTCATCCGCTTTTTCCATTTCATCCGCTTTTTCCATTTCATCCGCTTTTTCCATTTCATCCGCCTTTTCCATTTCATCCGCCTTTTCCATTTCATCCGCCTTTTCCATTTCATCCGCCTTTTCCATTTCATCC